AAAAGGTGACCATTTTGAGAAAAAGTGAGAATTTTGTACTTTTGAGACAAAAAGAGAATTGAGAAAGTCAGAATTTTGTGATTTTTAGAAAAAAAGCCCACATTGAGAAAAAAAAGTACATAAAACAAAGTGATAATATACAACAGAAGTGATCGTAGTGTTTAGGATTCAAGAGTCTTAATAAAAAGCAAAGGAAGACTTTTTTTTCTTTTATTGGCAACAATCTTTATTATCTCTTCCAGTTTTTGGATGTGAAAAGAGGCATTCATTTTACTTTAATTAAATATCTTTTTAATAAAGTAAAGCAAAAAAGTATTTACAAATGTTCAATTAAATTGTAATCAATGACTTGGGGGTTGGATAATTATACAAGCACCTTCTGCCGGCCGAGGAGAGAAAAATATAAATACAGGAGGGATAAAGACTGCCACTTGTTTCGGGGGAATCACATGGCGATACGTTAGCATTTTTTCTTTGAAAAAACAGAAGCCATTTATATATTTACAGAACTCTCCTGAAATGCGTTTCCACTGGAGGAAGCAGAAAGGCTTTAGGATCCGAACTGTTGAGCTTTTTTTTTGGGGTTTTATTGAAGTGGATTTTTTGTCCGTGTACTTTTTTCTCATATTTTAAAAAATCCGACGACAGGCTTTGCAGGAGCGTGTTTTCTTCCTCTCAGTCCACAGTTTGTGTTTTGAAGCGCAGGAGTATAACAGACACATGGTTTGGTGTTTTTTTGGGGCGTCAGGGAAGCATCGTCACCCCCCAGCAGCAAAAAATGGTCAAAGTTCATCGCCTCCCACTCGTAAAGTCTGCGTGAAATCTGTCGTCACGTCCACAAACCGTCCGTCTGAAACGTCCGTCCGTCTGAAACGTCCGTTCGACAGCGCTCGCCACTCTTCTTTGTAGTTTTTTTATTTTATTACAAAACGCTCACTCCAACCATCCAACACGGGAACAAGATGAAAGGGAAAGCTAACTAGCGCTTGGTCGTGTAGATCCAATACCGATCGATGTGATGCTGCCGCTCACACGATGAAGTCATCAAAAATATAAATGTGAACAGCCTTTTAAAGTTTTTTTTGTTTTTGTTTTTTTTGAATATATCTGTCATTAAGCAAAGTGTCTTGAATAGTGTTTGACTGTGGCGAGGAAAAACCAGCCGTTTGAAAAAAAACAGGTTAACTTCAAAGAAATACTGAAGGAAACGGCGTCTTCTCTGGCGGCTTTTCTCTCGCTCTTCTACTCGCTCTATTTATTTCCAAAAAAGACATTCAGTTGCGCAAAAAAGGGAACAAAAATAAAATAAAGGAAACCAAAAAAAATAACTGATCGAGTGTTCGATCCGTAATACAATCTCTCCCAGTTGAAGAATTTTTTTTTTTTCTTGCTTTTTTGTGTGTTTCTGTTTATGCAGAAGGATTTTGCTGATTCAGGGTTTTTTCTTCTGAATCCTCCACGGAGCGTCTTCCTCCTCTAGCTGTTGTCGGACTCGTCTTCATCCTCGGCCTCTCGGAGCCACGTGAAGAAGGCGGTGACGGACTTTAGAGCCACGCCTTTCCCCTGCTGCTCCGCCGGGTCTTTGCTCGACTCCCACTTGTAGAAAGCTTCTTCTTTGATCACGTCCTCGTCGTAAAGGCTGTCGAAGAACATCCGCAGCAGGTCTGAAGGAGAGGGGAAACACGAGAGACGTTAATACATTACTCATTGACTATTTAAACTATATTACATTACATGTTAGACACTTTTATCCAAAGCGCCTCACATACTCAGTACTGTGGACAATCCCCACAGGAGCACTTTGGGGTGAAGCGTCTCAGGGACACTACGACATGCTGACTGCAGTGGGGTTTGAACCTGATCACAACACCTACGCACTATTCCACTGCCTCCCATATTAAACCAATTATAAAGCCTAACACATACTACAACAGTCAGAACTAAAAATGGAGAAGCAGCGTTCAGTTATTATGCTCCAAATATCTGGAACAAACTCCCTGCAGGTCCGCTGAAACTTTTAAAAGGAATAATTTACCTACATTTGATTGATTTCTCAAACTTATAACTGAACTTATGAGGCGATATATAGCGGCACAGCCCTTCGAATATTTTCTGTTCGTGGCCCTCGGTGAAAAAAGTTTGGACACCGCTGCTCTAAAGGATGTTAAGAAGTCACTCACTGGCCGGCTGCTCCAGCTCCACCATCAGCGCCTGCAGAGCGTAGAGAGCCTGCAGCTCCTTCTTGTCGTCACTCAGGTATTTCTGCAGGACCTTCGCTCTCTTGCTGATCTTAGCGGCGTCCACCTTGTTCGGGGTCTCATCTGCAGGAAACAAAACGTCATTAACGGGACTGGCATGGCGTAGTTTACGAGGTCATTCTGACTTGATTGAATGCGTAATATCTACAGGGAACATGCGGATAACTCACAGATGATGGCTGACTGACAGATGCATGTCATCAGAGCTCTGACCAGCATGTTGGAGGACATCTGCTGCTCATCCAGGTTAGCCTGCACACAGAGACACATTCATTTACACGCAGGCAGAGAACCAAGAGCCCTACAACTGGGTTAGGGTTTGAGGAGCATTGTTCAAATTCAAACTGAATTTTGAGATAAAGGGAGAATTTTTAGATTTTAAAAAATTCCCATGTCCATTGTTGAGTTCTACTAGAATAGATTTATATTGTGCAATTTTCCAAAAACTCACTTTGGTTTCTCAAACAGCATCTCTGTAAACTACGTGTATTCACTGAATTTCACTCTCTGCCTTTAACGGCTCGTTGTAGCTCCAGTAGCTCCAGCCCCCACCCTCCCTGTGAGCACAGTGTGCTCTGATTGGTCGGGACGTTGTGAATCGCGCTGAGCTCCGTGGAGGTGTGGTTTCCTTGTTTAGCGACAGTGAAACACAGCCAAACTCATCCTGAGCACACAGTCACAGCCGAAGTAAAAACAATAAGTGTGGCTTGATATTGAGTAAGAAAAAGGTTGATAAACGCTGTGAGAATGGGTCTGCAGAGAGAATTTCACCTCGATCCCAACTGTCTGTTATCAGCCTGCAGCCAGGGAGGAGAAATCAGCAGAGCTGCCTGCACTGAGTGTGTGTGTGAGGAAGTCCGTGGATTGGTCAATTTCGACCAATCAGAGAGGGCTTAACGTAACGGCTCCGCGGACGTAACGTAACGGCTCCACGGATTGGTCCATTTGGTTCCGGGTACCGCAAGACCGTATCGCGTCATAGCTCTGGGCGCGGCTACTCGCCATTCCTACGTCACGATACCCAGGAAGTAAACAATGACGTATCTCCAACGAGGCGTTTTGGGGGAGGTATTTTCTGTGTTAGAGTTTTACTCCCTACAGGGTGTACTTTGAGGTTTTTGATTCTGCACACCGTTTCCATGCATAAAAACCTTCATAACACACAAGGGGACGGGTAATAACAGTAAAAGCATGACATGCGACCTTTAAGAGAGATAACAGACTCAGGGTTGGTCATAAACGTCAACAGGCAAAAAGGTTAGATATCTTAGGAGTAAAGGAGAATTATTCCCTCACAGTTGATCGCTCAAACGAGGAGCTCGTAAGCTAACGGAGAATGTACAATTTTTGACGATTTACATGTCACAAATTACTCCAAACTACTCGCATATACTTTTTCCGATAATCACGAAACCCTGTATACACATTGCTCTTATGATTGCAGACATATTTCAAATTTTCTTCCATTAGCCCCGCCCCCCAGAAAGTCGGCCATATTGAAGAATGTGCGTTTTTCAAGCATTTTAAGCATATTTTTGAAAACTCCTCCTAGGGAAATGATTGGAAAAATTCCAATTCAGGAAATGTTCAGCCCATATCCAATGTGATGCTAAATTGCGAAGGAATAGTCGATCGCTCAAACGGGGAGCTCGTAAGCTAACGGACAATTTACAATTTTTTACGATTTACATGTCACAAATTACTCCAAACTACTTGCATACAGTTTTTCCGAGATTCACGAAACACTGTAAACATTGCTCTTAGGATTGCGGTCAAATGGTCAACGCGAGGCGTTGCAGAGGCGCCGGGCAGGAAGTGGACCGGTCAGAGCACCCGGCCCATCCCCAAAATAAACTAATTTTGCAGACCCTATCCCTCCGTAGTCTTTCAAGTAGGAGGAGAAATGCCAGTGCTCTCCTCCGGTTTACAGGCACTGTGTAAATTATATATATATATAGAATAATTATGATGATGAATGCATT